TCCGTGGGATTTGAACCCTAGACCTGCTACTTGGAGAGGGTGACAACTTGACCACTTCACTAAGCTGCCACACCTCTCTCTTGCTGTTTGATAAAATTATTGGGATCACTATTATGAAAGAATTCTATATATCTTTCGTGTTGTTCGGTTGCAAATCCATATTGCGGGTAATAAATGTTAAGTTCTAATCTAGTTGGGTGATCTAAAGTTTTAAGAAAATAAGGTCGACGTATCTTAGATAGCAGTCCAAGATATTTTGATATAATCTCTTGACACAATCTTTCACATTTATATTTAGAGCAATATGGACACCATATATTATCATTTTTACATGAGAAAGGGTAGCATACCATTGATGGTTTTTATTGCATCTCCAGAGTAACTGGCTTTTGCAATTGGTATAAGAATCTGTTAAGCATTCCCCTCCTCAACTATATGCAATAGCTTTGGCTATCGAAATATCAAGTTTTGTGCTAGCGCAATATGGACACCAATAGTTCTTGTTCTTAATACCACTGAGAGAAGCAAGCCATTCATGTGATTTGGAACATCTCCAGCATAAATGCGTTGTATAATTGATGTAAACATCGGATAAACACTCTCCATTTCTGCTATGTGCTAATTCTTTTACATATTCAATGTCAAGTTTCTCAGACTTACCTACACAATGTAGGCACCAAGTCCCTCTTTGAATACTATCGATCTGAGCAAGCCATGAATATCCTTCAGAACATTTTCAAGAGAGTGCAAGATTCTGAGCGAATTCAAGTCCAAGTTTCATGCACTTACGACACCAATTTTTTCCATTTTTGATATTTAAAAGTGATAGGAGAAATTGATAATTATTTTCACATTCCTATAATAGAGGAGAATTACTATTAACATATTTTTCAGAAATACAGTTTCTCTTTCTAGTATATGCAATTTGCTTAGCAATTTCAAGAGTAAGTGGTTTTCTATGAGCACAGTCTGGACACCACTTGTTACATTTTATACTAGCAAGATTCGCGTATCATTCATGTCCTTTATTACAATGCTATAATAAAGTTGATTTACTATTAATATATTTTTCTGAGAGACATTCACCATTTTTGTTATGTGCTAATTCTTTAGCAATCAAAATATTAAGTCTAGTGTAGGGCACCATGTTTTACCATTTTTTATACTATTAAATGAGGCAAACCATTCGTGTCCTTTTATGCATTTCCAATACATTGGGGCTATATTATTAACATATTCTTTGGAAAGACATTTTCTGCTACAAGATTTAGCTATCTTTATTGCATCACTTAAAGATAATTTTTTTGACATTGCGATTAACAAAATATGTTTCTTAAATAATTATCCTACTTTTCAATATACTATGGAGTATTACAAACTATGCAAATTGGATGAAACTATACCTTTGAAAAAACAGAATCCATTCGCTCCTAAACATCCATTTAGACTACTAGTTGCGGGCACCTCTGAGTCTGGAAAGACGAGCATGGTAGTACATCTGCTTCTAGAAAGCAAATATCCAAAAATATATCCATGGATGTCTGGTGAAAAATGTGGTCATAAAATACCAAAAGGTGGGAGCAAAAATTTTGGTGAAAGGTATATTCCGTGTGATGATCTAATTGTTGTTGCGCAGCACCAAGATGAAGAGTTATGGGAAGCAGTACAATGTTTTTATGAATTTATAGCTATGGATAAGCAAGCTCCATGGTATAAAAATATGAGATTCAAGCTAATCATGTCTGAAGAACTACCTGATATTTCATCTTTTAAAAGAACTGGCCGGTTTACTGTTATAGTCTTTGATGATCTTGCTGGGGAACCTTTGGCAACTCAGCTAAAAATCATTTCTTTCTTTAGGTAAGGCAGATATGATAGAATTAGTTCAATTTATATTGTCCAGCGTTTCTATGAAACCCATCCAAATATATGTGGAAATCTTAAATACATTTCATTACATTGTGGATGTGGAACTTTAGATAGCATAAAGCGAATTCTTAAAGATACACACGATGATTATGAACCTCTAGCAAAAAAAATTTATGAGATAATAAAAAAGCACTTTGTGGTTATTGATGGGACAAACCTTTAAAAGATTGGCAAAATGGTTGAACTCAGGATGATTTGTGCTTATTAGCTTCGTCTATATCTTTAAGAAATAGTTTCATTTTCTGCATGTTTATATAAAAAAATATTATAATTGAATCAGAGATATTGTATCTCTATATATATCGTTATTTTTGTTTTTTATTTTTTTCCGACCATTCCATATAGGTTTAGCCACTGTGTGTCTGCTTCTAGCAATAAAGGTAATCCATACAGTAACGATAATTAATAAAGCAAGTAAAAGCAACGCAATCATTGGAAACCCCAATATATTTACTACAGGAATTGCTTCCACCGAAATCTGAGATTGGGGAGTGATATCCTCACTAATTTCATTAATGTTACTTTTCTCATTTATCTTAGGGCTAATCTCAGTACCAACTTTTGATAGTTCGGTAATCTTATTATTAGTTTGTGCTGAGATATCATTATTGATTTTTCCAGCTTGATTCAATTTTTTTCTGCGACCAAAATATTGACTAAGATCTTTAATAGGTATATTATCAGACTTGGTTATGGAACTTTGTTCCTTGCTTTGCGTATTTTTTTTGTCATCTCCACCAATTACAGATGAGGCATAGCCTTGAATCACTGATTTCTCTGATATATCCTCAGATTTTAGATGCTCCAATTCACTAAGTTTTGGCATGGATGTGCCTGCTCGTGCTGAAGCTAATTCATTCTTTGTATTCATTAATTTATTCTTTGTATTTGCTAATTCTTTCTTTATATTTGTTAATTCAGACTTGAAAGATATAATCTCAGATTCTTTTTTTACTATTCCTTCCTGAGATGAGAATGTATCCTTTTGAACTGATTCTAACTTACCTTCTAATATTTTTTTCATAGACCGAAGTACTGTAATTTTCTTTAATTCTTTTTGAGTTGAAGATAGTTTTGTTTTCAATATTTTTATTTTAGACTGGAAATTTTTTATCTTAATTTTAGATTCATTAAGAGAAATATCTTTGTGAGTAATCTGGAATATTAGAGTATCTAACTCTAAATACAATTGTTTTAATTCTTCTATAAGCTGATAGGTATGCTTAGTAAGTTTTTCTTTATCTTTATTAGATCGATTTAGATCTCGTTGTATGTGCTTATTGTCTTTATCCAAGACAGAGCATTTATTAGCAAGTCGATTGCCACACTCTATAGCAATTTCTCAATCTTGATTTGTACAAGCAAGCTGATTTTCAAGTTCTGTTTGGCTAGATGGGTATTGATTAGATGGAATACTCCCAAGTTTATTGCCAGATACCAGAGCTACCCAGCATTTATCTCATTCAGCATATGCAGATTTGCTATATAAATTTACTTGAAGGTAGATATATTTTTTTTCTTGGTAATTTTCTGAGACGGTATCAGAAATTTTTTGGCAAAAGTGGTTGGTATAAATTATTCATATATATATATTTTTCTTCAAATGTGGAGAAAGGGAATCAGAATCAAACTAATATCAAACTAATAATAAATCAGTTTAAGACAAATATGTTATTTAAACTATATACATCTTAACCCTATTTGGATCATGGTTATAGCAAGCTATGTGATAAAGGAAATGAATTTTCTTTATATTTCAAACTAATATCAAACCAATATCAGACCAATGCCAAATAGGTTGCGAATAAATTTTCTACAAGTTTTTTTATTGGTATCATATAAATTTATTATTAACAAATTATGAGTAAAAAACTATCAACCCGTACTCGTAAATTTCTTAGATCAGATGCCACCCGCTTGTCACCTGAAGCCATTGAAGAAATCAGAAATACTCAGAATAATATTCCAAATACTCGACATATTATATATAAAAAACATCATATAGAGGCAACAACATATCAAAAAATCATTGATAATCAAAGGTCTCCTAAACCGACTGAGAAGTGGCATAAAATTTTAGAATCTGTTAGCATTTCTGATCAGATTTTAGAAAATAACCAGGAATCTTTACAGCCAGTAAGTACTGAGCATGATACCTCTTTTTCTAATATACAAGAAGATGAGATCATTTATATAGAGCACCCTGGAGATGATAAAGATAATGCAAATTTTCATATAAAGCTGAATATAGTAACTAGTGAACGAAAAGATAAGATTAGTTAAAAACAAAAGATTAGTATGAAGACAAAAGGTGAATCTTCTCCAGTGGAAAAAAATAGAATAACCAATTCTTCTAAAGACAATACATCTAGATGGAAATCTGATCTTGAAAAATTAATGAAAGATACTAAAAAATTAGCTCCTATTCTTTCATCTTTGTTTCAGTAAGTTGAGAACATCTTTCTGCAAGAACCTTGCCTGCATTTAGAGCTATATCAAGCTACTCTTCAGTTTTTATAAGTCGCTTTTTAAGCTCTTTGCATTTTTTTTTAAATCATTCTCACTAGTCAGGCTAGAGGAAATTTGGGCTAAATCATTCGGGAAGGATTCCTGAGAGACTACCTTCTGTTTCTTTTTTGGCAAATTCTTAGCTACTGGAGCTTTGTTATATGTTGGAATAACATAGGTTTTCTCATATAACTTTATACGAAACTGGTTTTTATTTGGCTCAGGGACGCCTTGAAGCTTTCAAATATTTGACATATCTAAAAATAGCATTGGTTCAGGTTCGCTATTATCAATACAAACAAAATTTTTAATAATTGTGACAGTCTTGTTTTTTTTATCCTTTAGAGTAACTAGCACATCTGTGTACCATCTTAATGAATCAGTAATATGTTTGGAATTTCCCTTTATAGCAAAATTAGATGGCTCATCAATCTTCCATCCAAGTGTGTAAATTGCTAGATCATTTATTGTACTGAATTCACTTCCGGTATCTAAGAAAAAATTAGGAATTGTTAGATCATTTATATTACAATGCAAGTACTGTAAAGATGAAAACCACATATCTGATTTTTTTAACTCCTCCAGAGCCTTTCAGGACAAGCACATTTTCCAGATCGGTAGTAAAAACTTAAACAATAGCTGATTATACATTTCAGGCTGGTTATTTTCTATTAATACCTGTTTTTTTTTCAGATATATCATATACGATCCATCTATTATTTTCTTCATCATAACCATCTTCCTTATTATCCAAACCTGGGGGTGTGTTTTGGAAATTTATAGATGTAAGAGGCTTAAAATAAGCAGACCGATTGAAATTAAATTGTGCTATTTGTCTTTTAGGACAATTTTTTTTGCTATAACCTGACTCTCTGCAAATATTACATTTTTGTATATATACTTTTTGAAATTGATTAGTTAATTGATTTACTGTATTATGAGTTTTATTTATTCCCTTTTCTACTTTATCAATTCTAGCAGAGACGTTGTTTCACTATAGGCGAGATCTTTGAAAAAGTTTTATAGAATAATTTCTCTCTAAATCTTCTGCACTAAATATATCTAAATTTAGTGCTATGGACCAGACCCAAACTAGACTTTAGTCAAGTCTGGGTCTGGTTTGATTTTCGAACTAGACTTAGACTTTTATATTCAGACTTTTTAGTTAAGTCTGAGTTTGGTCTAGATCTAGTCCAAAGTCTGCAAACTAGTCTGAGTTCGAATGTATATTTGATACTGACAAATTAGTAGTTGAACCGTTAAACCCAGATATATTTAAATTTTTTTTCATATTATATATCTTGTTAGTATATAAGACTTGTGGATGTATTTGCTTGATCGATTCCTGTTTAATCTTATTAGCCTCCAAAATTTGTTTTTTGATTTCATTATTATCTTTCTGATCCATTTCATCTAGCTAACGTGTGCTTATTTCAATAATCTCTGTTGCAGTAGGTCACTTCTTTATCTATACATTTCATGGCTAATTTAATACAACAATCTGGTTCTAAACACAAGATCACTATTAAATGAAATTCCATCAAATGCTCTTTGTCATATCGAAATCTCTGTTGCGATAACTCCAAAGCTGTAAATATCTTATGCTGGAGTGTATGGTTGTTCCACTAAAACTTTAGGTGCTATATACGGCAGAATTTCACAAGTTTTTTCTTTTATATTTTTAGAAATTCCAAGGTCTATAATATATGCGTTATGCAAATTATCTTGCAAAATATTTCTGCTGTGTAAATCTCTGTGAACAAGTTCTTGCGAATGAATCGACTCCACATCCGAAGCTATATAGTACAAGATATTCAATTTATCTTTCTATTTCAGTTGTAATACTTGTAATATTTCCGCTGTGTAAATCTCTGTGAACAGGTTCTTGCAAATGAATCGACACCAGATCCGAAGCTATATAGTACAAGATATTCAATTTATCTTTCCATTCCAGTTGTGATACTTGTACAAGATTTTGTCACAACATTCCTTTTAATGCATATTTCATAACAATAATATTATCACTATGACCATTTCTTGATACTCCAATGCATTCCAATAATGATGGATTCTCATAACCAATTTTACAATAATTCTTTAATTCGTGGATAAATTCTTGCTTGCTTTCGTTTGAATTATAAATTACTTTAAATGCATTACTATTCTATATATTATTAACTCTATCGAACTATTCTGCATAAACTCATTATAATTAATCCAAGCTAATTTAAATCTCTCATTATTTAATATTTTCTTAAGTTCTGAACTGATATGTTAGGTGATTCATTAGCAGATTTTTTATAGTATTCAAATGCTTTATTATGATTTGACCAACTCACCAATATTATATTTTGCAGTGGCATTGCTCTAATCAGCAAATTTTTTACAATGTCCAAATGATTTTTGGAAATTTATTTCTACTCCAATTTCATGGCAGTAACAAAGATCAATATTATTCATTGCTGCTGAATCACCTATCTCGGCTAATAAATAGGTCACAAAATAACATGAGGAACTGTCAATATTATATGATTGAACTTCACCTGATGTGCACTATATAAAAAAATTAATTTACAATACTAGATCATTCCGCTAGTAAATGTTATAATTATAATCCCAGGTCATTTTATTATAATAAAAATGTGATTATAATCATAATATATACTAGCGGAATGATTTGGTATTGTAAATTAATTTTTTTATATGCTACACACCGGGAAAGGTTCAGTCATGTAACATTAACAGTTCCTCCTGTTTCACAAAGTTAATATTTATCTAAAGTGGTACAAAAGATATAGCTTATTGGACCGCTAGGTTACCCAGATAATAATGGGTCCAAGCACTAGGTTCAAAGTTCAAAAATAAATATACGCATGTACAATAAATTCAGACTCGAACTAGTTTGCAGACTTTGAACCAGACCCGGACCGGACTAATAATTAAGTTTGAGTCTGGTCTGAAGTTCGAAACTAGTGAAATTTCAAGTCTAAGTCTGGTTTGATCCCAGACCGGACCTAGGAGCACTACTTAAATTATTTAAGTATTGTAATAAGCGATAATTTTCCATACCTTCTTCTGTTTGTAATGAAGATGGTGGGCCTTTTGGCTATCTAACTAGTTCAATAGTTTGAGAAGCAGGTACTTGCGTTTGCTTAGCCATTTGAGATTCTAATTCTGTAACTTTCTTACTAATGTCTGGTTTTCAGTTTTTTGTTGCGCTAATACATTCTGGATTGCTTTTTGCATATTTTCTAAAGAAATTGCATGCTGTTGAGAAGCTGAAACAGGTAAGGGTTCATATATTTCCCGAGCTTCTCACTGAGAAACTAATGAATCAGATATTCTATCTCTTTTATGTCTAGCTATTTGGCGTAACTCTATCTTATAAAGCTTTTTAGCTAATTCATCTAATAGCAAATGTTCACCAATATTCTCAGCTTTTTCAAGCTATGGAAGTGAAAGAGTATCTAAGAACTTTTTATGTAATTCTTTGGGCCTATAGTTGGCTCATCTACTAATTCGTAATAATTTTCTATATAATTCATCTATAGTCATGTCACCCTTTCTAATTGTTCCATACATCAAATCCCGAAGCTCCTCTTCTACTATAGGAAAATACGTTTTTAGCCACCATATGGCTTAACCGAAATGAATGTCAACTACAATCACTGTAGTACCATTATTAGCATTTGGTGCATTAACAGCAATATTAGTAAAATGACTACCTGCTATGCGTTAATCTTTATCGCAGGGACCTTCTACAGCTCTCAACTTGACTATTGCAGTTTCTGGTTGGCTGAGTGCCTAATTTTCTATCTGAACTACCATTTACCCATTTACTGCTACTAAGTTAGCCTACGCTGTATTATCAAGTAAGTTTACTAATTTCCAATTCTGTTTTGTAGTAATTTCTTTGTCAAACTATTCTAAAGCTCTTTCTCTCATACAGCCTCTTAAATATCTCATAGCTACTTCTCTTCCTGTTGGTGGACCTGCTGCATTATCTGCTGGATTTACACCTTGGTTTTGCAAGTATAATCTTAGCTTCACAAGAAAATCTGGGATATCGTCACTCTAGTTAAAAAATAGTTGTAATATTCCTACCATATTTTTTTGATTTTGTGGATTATTATGAAGTGCCAAAATTTGTTAATTTAAATTTAAAATATTCTGGTGCTCTGTATAGGTCTTATTTTTCCACTTCTTATATCGTTCATATAATCTATTTCGATTATATTCTAGCAAACCTATATCCTCTCTACATCGCTATAGATAGTGAGCCTTTTGCAGATATAGTAGTTGTAAGACAAATTTTTCCTGTAGTAAGGGGTGTGCTATTTATTATGTAATTTATACCATGGATACATGATCAGAATCCTGATTACGTTACACAAAATGGCTAATTGACCAATCAGATTAAAGAATATATACATAATATATATATAATAATATATATATAATTTTTAAAGTCGAATAGCTTTTGATCTACTGGTTCGTTTTGGATGATTTAACTACCAAAATGTTCGTCTTAGTGAGACGAATCTAACAAGCCTAAAATCATCAAAATCCAATTACAGGATCCTGAGATCGCTAAAGTTTTTTATAATTTTAAAATTATAAAAGCTTTAGCGATCTCAGGATTCTGTAATTAGATTTTGATGATTTTAGGCTTGTTAGATTCATCTCACTGAGATGAATATTTTGGTAGTTAAATTATCCAAAACAGACCAGTAGATCAAAAGTTATTCAACTTAAAAATTATATATTATACTGTATATATATTATATATATATTATATATATAATCTATATAATCTAGCCAATCAGCATTGAGATCACACCATGGATAGATAGGGTAGGCTATTAGTAAGATTTTATTACGTAATAAATGGCACGCTCCTAATACACCAATACGGGTTCGCTTTCCTGTTATATTGTCTAATATTCTGTTTACTTGATTTTGAATATTAGTTTGCAACTGCTAAATATTAAGCAATGCCTAATTTCGCTCCTGCCTGTATATATTTCGGTCCCATTGTACATTTATCAGATCTTGTTGTAGGTTAGTGTATTTATGTCAGATTGATCTTGTTGATTTTTTAATTTGATTTGTTAAAACAGTTCTATATATTGCTATATTATTTAGAAATCGGTCTATAGCGTTAGCTAACTCAGCTATTGTACCCATTTTATTATCAGAGTTATACAAGTCTGGAGAATTTTCATCAAAATCAGATTCATTTTCATTAAAATTTCATGTTTGTGTGTTTTGTAAAGCTTCTCATATATTTGTAAGTTCTAATCTATCTCGATATCTTAATAATGCTAAAGCAAAATTCTAACAAAGTAGGTTTGTAATACAATTTTTTTGCTGAGTTATTTTGTTGATCTTATTTATTTGATTAGTTCTTACTGTATTTATTTCTCATTTAAGGCATTCATTTTCATCTACTAATCTGGTTGTGTAATCTTGCGCTTTGGGGGTATTACCTGCAGATTTTGATATTTTTTGTATTTGGGTTTTTAATTTTGTCTCATGTTTATCAAACTCTGTTATTAGTTTATCCTTATTAGTAATTTCCTTATCTTTCTTTTTATTTTCTTCTTCAAGCTGATAAATGATTCTTTTAAGTTTTGAGATTTCTTCTAATAATTCTTCTTTTGTCTTGTCTAGAAAGTTCGATAGTGTTATTTAACTCTTCTTCAAGATATCGTATTCTTTCTTCACGTATACCTATAACCCTCTCTAAGGTATATAGACATTGTTCGAAATTCTTATTTAATTCCACTAATTGCAATACTACCTCATAGAGTTCTTGGTTAGTTTGTTGTAACTCCTTCATGTTTTTTATTACTATAATAAAACAAAGAAATAAAGAAACCTGTAATTTATATTGACTTACAAAGGGCCCATAATTTGGATAGAGAAATTGTTAAAACTAAAAGAATAGAACAACCTATAATAAATATTAGTCCTTTGAGAGCTTGTGATTTGGATAGGAAGATTGTTTTGCAGAAATTATATTACCAACCTGAAGGTTATTACCAAAATGCTAAAAGATTGCGAAATGCTTGTATAAAAGCCAAATACAACTTTCCACTTGCTATAATAAAAAAATGGCTTGAGCCTCAGAAGATATATCAAATTTATCGCGCTTTACCAAAGAATACACCTTATACTAGTTATTCTAAAATCTCAAAACCTAATTGTGTTCATCAGTACGATTTAATTGAGATACTATATGATGAAAACAAGTATACAAATTTATTGAATAAAGATAATAAAATATTTTATTATGTATTATTAGTTATAGATTGTGCAAGTAGATATAAAGATTTTGTTTTTTTAACATCAAAAAGCAGTTCAGAAGTTGCAGATGCATTTAGAAATATTTATAAAAATCCTAATAATTACTTTATATATCCTCGATTGTTGCAATGTGATGAAGGACATGAATTTATGGGGAGTATAACTTTATTGATAAGTAAGCATAATGTTAAAATTAGGAGAATCAAGGCTTGTTTCAAACATACAAGTCTAGCAATAGTTGATCATCATGCTGGACTTTTTACTTTAAAAGTTTTTAAGAATCAATATGTGATAGAATTTCTCTTACCTACTGGTGAATGCTATAGAGAATGTGAACGATTTGCAAAAAGAATTGTTAATAATATGAATGACATCCCAACTTGGTTAATTGGGATGAGCCCTAATAGTGCCATAAAACTTGAATGAGTTTATTCCAAGCTATCAACAAAGTATTATCATCCAATAGATACTGATGAGCCACAGTTATCAAAGGAAACTATAGTTCGATTTTTACTTGCTTCTGGTGAATAGGAAAATGATCCCTTTGAATGACAAAGAATAATAGATCTAGTATGGAGTCCAAGCCTTTATAAAATTCAGAAAATTGTTGTTGGAAAAAATTCACCAATACCTGTATTATATTATTTAGATGAAACAGGTCCTCAATGTCCTTTTGTAAGAGAAAAATTAATATATATTAAAGAAAAACCTATATTACCTTCCAGGTAGGTTTTGGAAGATAACCGAATGCATTCAAGACACACTTGATGAAAGTTGGCAAATCAATAATGCAATAAGGGATTGTGATAAAAATTATACCCTCCTTAAAACAGAGTGTTTTTTTTTCCAATTGCGTTGAATTTGTGAATCTAAATTAATTTGCTCTTGTGGATGGAAAAATGAAATAATTGATTACCACTATATTCGAAGGCCAAATGTAATTCTTCATTATATCCATCCAGTTGTAAGCCTTCTAAAAATTTAGGTTTTTGAGGTAGGAATTTTTTATGCAATAATTCTTCGAATATATATTGACATGTCTTTTCAAATATATGAGGACAACTATTGCACCACCTATAATTTCGTTTCATATCTCTATAGGATGCTTCCCATCAATGCTGATTTTTACAAACCCATAAATAAATATTAGGCCTAACTCTAGCTAAGCATATTCCTTCACGTCTTTGAGTATATACTAAAGCTTTAGCATCATTCTCATTATAATTTTGCATTCTATAGACACGATAGATTATCATATACAAAAATTTGTGAAATTGAAGTTAGCCGGTATTATTGTATAAGAAAAAAATAAATAATACATATTATAAGTTTTCTTAGCTGAAATTGCTACATCCTGCTAAGAGTACTTAAAAAGTTTATTGCAAGGTCTTAATATATTTTTTAAGCTATTTCTTGGCTTCGTTCTAGAAATATGCATCAATCCACTTTTTTCTTTTATTTGAGTCTTTAATCTGCATAATATTATGTAATAGAGGTGGTTGGTATCTTTTATTATCATTAATAAAGCGGGCACATAATCTCACAGTTTTCTAAATAGTAGCCAATATCTATTTCTGTATTGAGTTCTTTTGCAATATCTGAAAACTCCATATAGTCTGCAACCCTTTGTGGTTGTTTTTTACCATTTTCATTATAAAAAGGACTACCTTTTACTACTACATAGCTAAAGCACTCACCAGGGTCTAGGATACTCAAAATTTTTTTTTTCATTCGAGCTATAAAACGTTGGATGCATTGGTTTTTTACTTTTGGTTTCCATGTAGCCATTGCAATAAATTGATTAAAGTCCCATTGCTTATGTTTTGCTTCTCTAAGAATATTTTCGACGATTTGATGGATCATGTATATATTATCAATATTCATCGCCTCTCTCATAATTTTCTCTCCAACAAATCTAAAAAGCTCTGTCTGATCTTGTTTTACAGTATCAATACTTTTAGTGAATAGCTTTTTTGGTTTGAAATTTACTATTTCCTCATGCACAACTCCAAAGTATTTCTTTTTACCGGTAAAACACACAGAGAATAATACTTTCTTATAAGCCATTTTTAGATAGAAGGTACTATTTTTTATTTTAAGAAAAGCATTAACTTCATTATGAAAATTATCCATTACCTTTATAGTAATTTTAACCATTTCAGTTCAGTATGCTTCCTTAGAGAGTTCTCCTTTAGTGAAAGCTTCATCGCATTTTTTGTAATACTCATTCGGACAAGTAAGATATAAAGAATCGGTGTTACCATATTTTATTCTGAAACCTTTCTTAGTTACATAATCTGCGACAAGATTAATGTTATATTGGCCTGTTAAAGTAATTTCTCCAGCTAACTCACAAAGAAAGAATGGAGATTTACTATTTCCAGCCTCATCATAGAAAGTATTCATATATACCTTCAGAGTGAACTGCTTGGAATTTAAACAGTTGTAATCGAAACATAAAGATACATATTTCGATTTTAAAGTGTTTGAAATTATTTTTCCTTTTCCTTTTATAGTATTTATAAGTTTTTCAAGATGCTTCTTTTCTTTATACAATAAAGCGAACTTTGCTTTGAGCTCTACTTGTTTGTTAAACAGGTCCTCTAAAACTATTGGATATAATCCTTTTTTCTTGGGACAATTATCATGCCAAACAGACCAAGCATGAAGGGTGTATCCATTAAATAAGAACTCAATCTTGTATAATTTTTTTCCATTTTTTGTGCATTATCGGCCTCTTCTTCGTTTAATATAATTTTTTCTGGGGAGAGATTGTAGGCCATAATGAGACTTGGATATAATGATGCAAAATCAAGTCCTGTTACAGGTTACTCATTTTCAATACTCTTTTTTGAATAGAAAACATATGCCCCAGGATATTTTCTATTTTTTTTGTCTTTATTTGATATTGTGCTAAATAAAATATTGTATTTAGTGGCATAAGTATCCAAAAGATTTCACACCTTCATTTCATTAGCCCAGTAGTGCATGTCAAATAAAGAAACATATGCTATAGAAGCGACTTCTCTATAATTATTTATTATACAGTACCGGACAGTAAAAGACATCCAATATAATTGGCTTACTATAAATTGTTATAACTTAAGAACAAGACATTATATCAAAAATTCCTCTGACAAATCGATAGTTCTTAAGTCAAGCTACAATTCTGTCAGAGGAATTTTTATTTTAATTAGTTTTTAAAAAGTTATAACAGGTCAAAGTTTACCAATTTTCATAGTAACTTCAAAAATTGGCGCATATATATAACATAAACAAATCATGCGCTCGTGCTTTCATTGGCTAAAATTTTTCACTATAAAGTTCCAATCCGGCTAGCGTTTATCCGGATAATTATCAATCTGTATTTATTCCGGATAATTATCCGAATATCTGTCAGATTATCCTGATATCAATAGTAAATGGATATCAGGTATGGATAAACGAATGATGGATTTATCCGGATTGGAACTCTATTTCACTAGAATAAATTTTAGCAAATTACTTAACGTATGCAAGTTTCTAAGATCCGGTAATTACAATTCGAGCCATTTATTCAAACCAAATGATGCAATAATACTGGTCAAACTTTGGCATATCATATATAATGTGATGATATCCAATTTACTGAAACTCAGCTGTAATATCAGATACATTTGTAAAGTCATAACTTTCATAACACGACCTTGGATAGATAAATCTTTTAATCAACCTCATAGTTACCGATCCACTTAGGGATGCTATTGTCTCACTTGGCTTTGTTGAATAATTGGCTTATATAATAGCTAAATATACAAGCCAGGTGAAACCAATAACATCTCTCAATTCATGTCTGCTTTTGAACTCAAGAAACCCAGAATGTGCTAAGTCTCAATGGCTCATGCAAGATTAGGTGTTACAATAATATTGCTTTCATCCTTTCGCTTTGCTACAGGTCCTAATATTCTCAAGTTTGCATATATGTGAAAAAAATTTGTAAGCAATACAATGGCCACTAATTAATCAAACTAACCTTATACCGCATCTACTTAAACGCCATTAGTAATGGTGACCAAATAAAATGAATTTAGTTCTGAGTATGCTTTAAACGAAATGTTAATAATGACTTAACTTTTAGACCATGTCTAATAAAAAAATTATAGACACATAATAGGTAAGGGCGCCTAACGCCTGGTCTAAAAATGCCAAGTACAGGGACCTGGTGCCTGGTCCAAAAATGCACACCAATACCAATATACATGGCATGTGCATTTACAGATTCCTAATCTGAACCAATCCGGTATTCTTATTATAAGCTACCTCAGAGACAAACCATAAGTGAAAAATAAGAAGTTTCTAATTGGCATTAATCTGCGTAATCTTATATGTGATACTTTGCGCCAATTCTTAAAGAGCCAATGGCAAACTTAATTTCGTCCACGAACCTTGATGATAATCATAATGAAAAAAAACTTTTAACTAATCTTCTTTGCTGTATTTAATCACGTATATAATGATTTTTTTACCAAGTAAACTAGAATAGATTGTTGATTTTTAGTTATAAAGATAAAATAATTAAATAAAATTTTATGTAATACTTATCTGCAATATATCATGATCATTACTTCGAAATTGAGTAATATTTGTTTCAAAATAACTCTTATTTATTTCTCAACATAAGTACCCTTTCATTTATGCTTATTTCGAAAATTGACTCGTAAAAATTATATGCGAATAATTTATAGGGACTCGAGATAATGTACCGATAGGCATTGCTTTGAAAAAATATGTCGCTATTAAAAAATTAGATAAAGAATTTAAGCTAACAATATAAAATGTTTAAGTAAAAAATTATAATAAAAGGGTGTCTTCTGTTAAGTAGGTCTTCGACCTATGCCCTGGTTTGAAATAAATTATCATTTTTAAGAATTTGTATACCCGCGATAACACTATGCCAAAACCTTCTGTTCTTAAAAGGCAACAGAAAGAAAAAATAAATACAGCTCATTCCATTCGGCAAGCAGCAAATACTATACAACCTAAAAATCTTACTGACCTTAGTTCAAGTGAGGAATATGAAAGTAATAACTCTAATGGGGATGACAATTCAGATGATGATTTTGTAGATGAACTAGGTAATGATGAGGATGCAAATTCTATAATTGACCGTCTTCTTGCAGCTTCAGAAGCTAGTTTTGAAAAAAAGGGACGGCCAAAATTATATACTGGGCTTTCTGCAAGAACTCGTCAAAGAAAAAAAAAAGTATTAAAAGAAGCTGCAGTAGGAAGTTTAAAAATTACGAGTTTTTTTTGCACTACTAATACTCAGCCACGGGTCACTGACGATGAAGAAGATATTGAAGACCATGGTTCTTCTGAAAGAGAATACGATAATGATGACTTAGGGAATGATAATGAATCAGATGATAGTGGTGAATCAGAGGATGAAGAAATTTTGATTAATAATGCTATTGAATTTGTAAACAAAATAATGAATGAAAAAATATGCTCTCAAAAACTGAAAACACTCGGTATACATCAGTTTTTTATTTTCTTCGATTGCTTCTAGATGGGCAAGGAAAAATGGAGGCATCAGAAACAGTTGCAAAAGTAATTAATAGTGGTCCATGGCTTGCAAAATGTATTAGAAAATAGGCAAATATTTGTATGAAAGAGGAATTAATCCCACCAAGTCTAAGAGGAAAATTGCCTACCAAAAGCCCGCTTCACGATGAATTTGTATCTCTTCATTTGGCTTCCTATCTACGAACTCAAAAGT